GGGTATCCTTTTGTGCACTGCAATTCAGTTTTTTTTCCTTAATATGTTGGAGGTGTAGGAGTAGCTAAGTAATGTTATTCTCTTTATGAAGAATCAACTTATTCAGTTCTTAAGGTAATATTAAAATTATGAACCTGGCTTTGTTTCTTGAGCACTAATGACAATGTAGCTGCTGTGCAGTTCTTTGGAACTTCAAGTGAAAAGATGGTTGAGTTCTTACAGAGCTCAGTTGGTATCATCCACAAAAACCATGCTGAGAGTATTACTACGTTCATTAAGAAAAGTGTGGATGAAGAGTTGAAGGACAGGGTTGATTCTGACATAAAGACTGCACAAAAGAAACGGATAACTTTCTGCGTTGAGGGAAATATAAGTGTTGGCAAAACCACTTTTTTGCAGAGAATAGCTAATGAAACACTTGAGCTACAAGACCTTGTTGAGGTAGTACCTGAACCTATTGGGAAGTGGCAGGATATTGGGCCTGATCACTTCAACATATTAGATGCATTCTACGCTGAGCCCCAAAGATATGCATATACCTTTCAAAACTATGTTTTTGTTACAAGAGTAATGCAGGAGAGAGAATCATCCAGTGGTATCAAGCCTCTCAGGTTGATGGAGAGAAGTGTTTTTAGTGACAGGATGGTATGTATACAACACCTTTGTCTTTTTTTGTTCTTTTTAAAGGTTTTTGCAACTTGTTGAAAGGCTAAGTTGAGATGGTTTGGACACGTGAAGTAACGTAGCATTGCGGACCCAGTGCAGAGATGCCAGAGGCTTACGGTAGAGGGTGGGGTGGGGGTAGGGGTAGACCTTGGAAGAATTAAAAGGAGGTCATAAGACATGAACAAGGACTAGGCTGGTAATATAAGACTAGGCTAGTTGGGTAGTCATTTGGACCTGGGTGGTAGTTTTTGCTCTTGTCATCGTGTCTTTTCTAGGCATGGATCTTATTACTTGCAGCAGTTTGTGTGCATTTTGTCTCCTTGCGCTTTTCTTACCCTTATTTTGCTCTTTGCTTTTTTATCGTGCTATGTGCTTTCTATGTTGCTCGATCTGGGGTCTCTTTGAAACAACCTCTCCACTTTCAAGTTGTTGTATGCATTATGAGCCGTGTTAACTTCCACAAATGACCATAAAATAGACAAAAAGAAAATAACTACGGAAAAAATGCACTTCGTATTCTAATGTGTTCTGTTATTATTTACTTCATTAAGGTCTTTGTAAGGGCGGTTCATGAAGCTAACTGGATGAATGAGATGGAGATCAGCATCTATGACTCGTGGTTTGACCCTGTCGTTTCCACTTTGCCTGGTCTAATACCCGATGGTTTTATCTATCTGAGAGCAAGCCCTGATACTTGCCACAAGAGAATGATTCTACGCAAGAGAGACGAGGAAGGTGGAGTCTCCCTTGACTATTTGAGAGATTTGCATGAAAAGCACGAGAGCTGGCTTTTCCCATTTGAAAGTGGAAACCACGGGATACTATCAGTCAGTAAACTCCCACAGACCTTTGAAAATAGCTTACCTTTGGACATAAGGGATCGTGTCTTCTATTTGGAGGGTAATCATATGCATCCAAGCATTGAAAAGGTAATGCCAATTACTATTGTTTCTTTTCTTTTTCCTTTCTTTCATTCTTTCATTGTTTAAAAAATGAGCATTGCATATTACTTGTGGAGTATGGAGTATTTCATTCGTTTTGTTGTTGTGCTTGGTGATGGATAGGTTCCTGCCTTGGTTCTTGATTGTGAGCCGAACATTGACTTCAATAGAGATATTGAAGCAAAGCGACAGTATGTCATTCTTTCGTCCTTTTTCTGTCCACATATTTCCTTAAAACTGTTTCCTACCCTCTTATTCATTTTGCAGGTATGCGCGACAAGTTGCCGAGTTCTTTGAATTTGTGAAGAAAAAGAAAGAAGTAAACGCTTCTGGTTTTGGTGAAAAAGATTCGCCAAAGATTAATCAACCGCAGTTGCTGCTGCCTCAGAGAAAGGGAATGTGGGTACCCAAGGGGAAATTCTCAGATTTCGGCCTAAAATCTTTGGATCTCAGGCATACGATGTCCATTTTGTCCCACTAGTGGGATTCTTAGCAAGTGCCAAAATCCAATGCCTTGGGGAGGTGGTCTTCTTTGTCAATCTGCCTGTAAAAAAGTCGTAGTATTTGATTTTGCTTTGATCCCAAGGCGTTGTATTGTGGATGCGTTCGGGAAGGTGGAAGCTTTTGTAAACTATCCCAGGTTTTTAGTCTCTTAGTAGTGAAAATGTAAAGAAGGTAATCCAGAGAGGAGTAGCTAGCTGTGGATTGATTCATAAGTGGAAGATTTCTACTTTCTCCGTCCAATCTATAGTGACTGTTTCGGTTTACGATGTTTGACTGAAATTATTTTCAAATCATTTTATATGACAAATGATATTGGAGTTAAAATATATATATATATATATATATATATATATATATATATAGATGGAGTGTCGTTTATATATACTATATATATATAGTAGGAACAAGACTGAATACATGGAGTGTCGTTTCAGCGGCAGAGAAACAGAATCAGATGTGAAAGTTAGGATTGACTCTCACCTAGTACCTAAGGTAGACAGGTTTCGATATCTTGGATCGGTAATCCAGGCTGATGGAGAGTTAGACGGGGATGTTGGACATCGTGTTGGAGTGGCTTGGGCCAAATGGCGGTTGGCTTCAGGGGTATTGTGTGACCTGAAGATTTCGCCCAGGATGAAAGTCAAGTTCTACCGATCCGTAGTCAGACCTCCTATGTTATATGGGGCAAAGTGTTGGGCGGTTAAGAAGATTCATGTGCGTCGTCTGCATGCGGCGGAGATGCGGATGTTACGATGGATGTGTGGGAAGACAAGGTTGGATAGGATTTCGAACGAAGTTATTCGACGTCAGGTAGGCATGGCGCCGGTGGAAGATAAATTGCGGGAAGCGAGGTTGAGATGGTTTGGTCATGTGAGACGGCGGGATGCTGACGCCCCTGTACGGAGATGCGAGCGGATTACGGTTTCCGGGGGAAGTAGGGGAAGGGGTAGACCTAAGAAGAATTGGAAGGAAGTGATTAGACAGGATTTAGGACTTCTCACCCTGACTGAGAATATGGCTTTAGATAGAAACCTTTGGAGAACTAGGATTGCTGGTTAGGAACTCGGTGCTATAAAGGTTTTTTGTAGTTTATTGTGTTTGATTGAAATCTTCTATTAATGCTTGTAGAACTTTCTTTTCATTGTACTTGGTGTTTTTTCCATGCTATAATGTATACCCTATCATTTTTTGTGCAGGTTGAGCCGGGGGTCTCTTGGAAACAGCCTCCCTGCTTCCAAGTAAGGGCAAGGTCTGCGTACACACACCCTCCCCAGACCCTACTGTAGTGGGATCCAACTGGGTTGTTGTTGTTGTTGTATGTATATATATATATATATATATATATATATATATATATATATATATATATATATATATATATATATATATATATATATATATATATATATATATATAGGGGGCGGTTCAAGTGAGTATGCACCTTGGTGAAAGAAATAAGAATAAAATCTAGCCTTTAGATTTGATGCATCGTGCGGCTCAGATTGTATCCTGCACTCAGATTTTGAGGTTATGCATTTTCAAGGGATTATGGTGCATTTCTACATATGCATTTTCAAACCATTTTGGTGCACCTAATTTTGATGCAATCCTAACCCTTAGATCTCACAATCTAAAGCACCAGATTCATTCTTATTTCTTTTATAAGATCGCATTCTCACCTGAACCAAAATCTATATATATATATATATATATATATATATGTGTGTGTGTGTGTGTGTGTGTGTGTGTGTGTGGATGTATGTGTGTGTGTCTAGACACACACATAAACACACACGATTTTTGTATTTTTATTTTTGTACATGTAAAAATTAAATCGTTAATATGTGGAGTATAAAATTTTATTTTCATATAATTCATAAGAAATTATTAAAATATACGGAGTAACTTTTTAATGATTTTACTTTTGATTTTCTTTTTTTTTTTTTTGAAAATTTAAAATTTAAAGTTTATTTTTTTGAATTTTTGAATTTTTTAACTTTTATTTTTATTTTTTTCATATATTATAAAATATATTTCAAGAAAAATGATTTTAAAAAATAATTTTTCTATAATCCAAGTTCAAAAGCTACCCTCTCTGGCATTTCGGATTTTGGCATTTCGGATCAAAAAGCCAAGTGAAAAAGCCATTAGCCGAACAATGGTTTTGGCAGTTTAATAAGTCAAACAAGCCAATGTCAGTCAAATATGCCAAAAGTTATCTGAAAAGTTGTTTTCCAAACATAGCCATTAAAATACTACATCTAAAGATCTGCAAAATTAGTAGTGACAATAGTATTTTATTTTATCAAATTGCTAACGAAAATAGAGAAAGTGAATGAAGTTTGACCATGTGAATAGTAAACAAGTATTATAATTTAGGACGGAGGAAGTAGATTGTTTTTTCTTATTAAAAAGTATCCTTGAATATGAAATCTCTAATATGCTAATGAGAATATTGTCTTCTAACTATTGAGATGATGATTGACTTTAAGGAACCAACTCGGCCAAATTTGTTAAGAAGAACGAGAAACGTATAGTTTATTTTGAAATAATTCGGGAGTGAAACTTTCTTTTAGGGTCATATGAAACTAGTTAACCCATTGTGCCCTAGGTTGGTGGATGTGGATTTTGAAACTATCAACAATATGTGTGTACTCTAGACACTCGATCCTTTTATATTTGGTGCTTTCTACATATGTTGGCACATTTGAAGCAAGATTTTAAAACGAAAAAATTATTTTAACGCGGAAAATTGTTTTTAGAGATAGTGTTAGCGAGCATAGACATTAACACTAATTATGAAACTAAATTCACAAACACTGAAACAATGTCATCCGCGGTGTCACTGTAGCCAACTCAAATGGTAAAAGGGCACTTTCTAATATGATTTGGAAGCAGAGAAATTTATTGCTCCTTGAGAAGCATAAAAATGGGAGGAAACAAGGGTTGTCAGAACAATGAACCAGAAGACACCAAATATCACTACAGTACATTTTTAACAACAAATAGACTTGGTAATATAGTGTCCAAAGTCTAAACCAGTGGAAAATGCACTTAAATTTCCACCAAAGAAAACAGAACACCATCCACCAATCAAGGGTCATGATTTTGAAAATCAAAATCTTACAAAAAGAAGAAAGGACTACAGACATTAAAAAAATAAAAAATTTAAAATAGTACCCACTAATGAATGATAATGGTCTTGTAAATAAACCTCATGTCTGGGTTTTTTTAACAAGTCCAGGAGGATGACCTCTTCATTACAGGCTTCATTTGTTTGTCCTCCTCCAAGGATATCATCCCCAAGTGTGAAGGGTCTTCTAGCATCATCTTTGCCACCAGATATCCTGCAATCGACCACGTCTGGTGCTTCCTGGCTTGTTTCCCAATATACCTTCCAAGTTTCCCGTCATAGTATTCGGGCCACCCATCTTTGAGCAAGCGGCTCTCGGCTAGATCAATGGCCCGCTTTGCAATTTGAGGGCGTCCTGTTTTGATGCAGGCCGCAGTGACCAGCCACAAGAGCACTGCAAATGGGGGGGGGGGGGTTGTTTGGTATTGTTACCTCTTTTCTGCTATCATCACCGTTCAAATGACATTGGATTTCAATGTCATAGGATGACATCAAGCCCTTACAATGCTCTCCGTTGGAGCCAAAAGTGGTCCCCCCCCTCCCACCAGCTCGCTGACATGCTAGGGTAATTACTATTGCATATCCGCAAAATGGAGGGGGGAGGAGGGTTAGGGCCTAGAGGCATGCCATTTTATGACATTGGAGCCCCCAACAGAGCACTGTAGAGGCATGTCATTTTATGACATTGGAGCCCAAAGTCAACGGAACCACGCCATTCAGTTATATACTCCCTCCATCCCATCAAACCATGAAGTTTATTTTGGGGGTAGAGGGAGTAGAGAAAAAATATGAGAGCACAAGTGAATTAGCTAAGCAGAAGGATATAGTAGGAGAAAAGAACCTGGCCAAGACCCTCCGTTATGGTAACTCCATCTAGTGTTTTTAGGATCACAACCAGTGACTATTCGCCACTCATGATTTTCAATCGCGGGATAACAGATTTTCAAAGGCATTTCCCCGACGAGCTCCTCCCAGCGTGCTTCAATGAGGTCCATGATCGCAGTGGCTTGCTCTGGAGTGGCAAGAGATGCCAATATGGCAACACAGTTTCCCAATGCGAACCATCTAAAATCCATCCTTGCAGGGCTGACATTCCCAACAAAGTAACCGCCGCGTGTGGGCACGAAATCAAACACCCAATCCGGGATTGAGTCCGGGATAACATTGAACTTGTTAACCGCAGTGTGTGAATATTCTTCGGTCTTGAAACGGTATATGTCATTTAGTTGTTGGAAGTCAAGCCAGAAATAACTCCTCATGTGGTAACTCAATGCATGTAGCCGTTTTACTATTCTCTCGATACATTCTTTCCCTTCTGCATCATGCTTTAACATTGCCAAAGCACATCTCAATGCCATGAAGAAGAGAGCTTGGATTTCAATAGGATAGCCATAAACTCCCTGAAATCCACAAAGGGAACACATTAGAGCCCGTTTTCAAATTGGGGAAAAAACTAGGGAAAGAAAATTGAGCGGTAAATAGATAGAGATTTTGGAAGGGGTGAAAATGCCCAAGAAAATGAAAAAAATTGTTTCGAACTCCATAAATCAAATTTAGATATTTGTTCATAATCATTTCAGGATGTTTCAAACATATAAATACAGATTAATAAATGTAGGTGTATGCAAAATTTCAAAAGGAGGGAATCAAATATTCAAATACTCCCTCTCTCCCACAATGAATTACACTCTTCACTATTCAAAAATTGTGAAAACTTTCGTTTGTGTTTTTTCATTGATTATTTGATAAAATAAAATATTCTTGTCACCTCTTGTTTTGTAGAATTTTCAATGTACTTTTTAAATATGCAAGTTTTATTTTTAATTTCTATACCAATTTTTTAATAAAATGAATTGAAAAAACTTGGAATGTTACTTTGTTTTGCATAAAGTGTAATTCATTTAGGGACAGAGGGAGTATGATTCTCCTCATCTCCTGTATACTTTCCTAGGTGAAACGCAACTTTGAAAAAACAATTTTTCCTTTCCATTTTTTCTTTTCCCAACCATTTTCAGGATTACAAACATAGGCTCCGCTGGTATTATCATAAGTGTCGTCATATAAAGTTCTACCAATAACAAATGCAAGACCTGTAACAGTGCAATATAGGGAAGAGACAAGATGTACCATTCTTCTATCAATCATTGAGCATCCATCAGCACAAAGCAATGTAGGAAATGTATCAAATCCTTCTGACAAGCACAGTGTAAGTATTAGCCTCATTCCCTTTTGGCACTCTGGTCTTTCAGCAAGAGTTGTATCTCCAGTAGATTTTGTGTACGCACGGAGAAGAATAATCCACCAAAACCCAGAGTCAACTGGAGCTACCCTTCCAATTGCACTCTCACCAAAGTCAGCTATGACGGTATCGACCTTACGAACCGGATCATGAAGAACTTTGAAACTGGCAGGCATAACCCCTTCACCTAGCTTGAATCTGTCTACTTTCTTTTCCCAACCTTGAAGCAAAAGTGTTTTCAGCAGGAAATTCTTAACTATTTCAGGCTCACCATTCATTAGGAAGGCCAGTGCACTTGGTACAAAATCACGAACAAACACCTGCACACCATTCACGGTTTTTAACTACCACAATGAAAAATTCCACTTTAAAATCAAATTAGAATACATCAACAACAAACACAGTTTAATCCCAACTTCGTTGAGGTCTGAGGTCAAGATGTAGGCAATTTCAGCCTATGAAAAATGAATCTTTTAACATCAAATGAAAACCTCAATTAAAAAATGGTCATCAAGAATCTTGTCTAAATGTTACACAATTACACTTCTTCAATGTACTCGATACACAAGCATAATGCATGTTGCGAGAGTAAAAAAAAGACTATCAAACTAAACGAGACACAGACCTGATCATAATTGAGGACCTCTTCAGAACCATGCTCATTGGCAGCAATTGTTCCCACTGGCTGGCCCCTGAAATAAACCAAAGACCGGCGTAGAGAATCCCATGCCTCGGCAACCATTGGATGAGGTTCAAACGAGTTCCTGGTGGATGAAGCTGGGGTGTCCAACCCTGACCTGCTGGGTGAATACGACAATTCATAATTATCTAAACCTCTAGCTAGGCCAATCGACATTTCACTGAGTGACCTCTCATCGAAGGATCTCTGCCGCTCTATATTCAGCCTGGGCTTGTCAAGAAGCTTTGAAAGATCATAGTCATCCATCTCTGGGATGGATCCGTGTGAGCTTACATTCTTCAGCCCAAACTCTTTAGTAATATGACCATCCATACTCATATAATCTAACTTGTTCAATACTCACGGAGACTCTGATAAATCATCACAAAACCATTATCCCCTCAGACCAGTTTGGAATATAATTCAAACTCTTTACACAAATGTAAACTTAAATAACAATAATGCTCAAGTATGTAGACTATATACACGATTTTGTGAGTGCAAGTGATTGTCAAAGGACTTACACAGTCTTACATTGTGTTATTGAACAGTATCATATCACTTTATGAGAGGAAAAACAATATGCTTATGCACAATTCTGTGCCTAGATACTAGACGTGTATTGTCTAACACCCAAGTGTGATGCAATATAAGACTAACAGGATTTGTACCAAATGTGGGAACCAAATTGGCTGGTTATGGCGTATCCAATGAAAATAGTGCACTTGGTTTTAAAACAAAATGAATATAGCGCATGGAAAATTGTGAAATGGTGCAAAATCTTACTCCAGACCATTTTCTCGTATATAAGGTGAATCAAGATTACTGAGATCATAAAGTGCTAGAAACAAATAGTAATACAAGGAAAGAATCAGTTGACAAAATCATAAGGATGGCGTCCAGTTAACAAGGAAAGCTTCATTCTTTATGGCCTAATCCAAATTAAGGGTAGAGCCAGAAATCACTTAATTACCACAACTTTAATAATAACAATACCATATACAGAAAGTAAATCAATCATTAACCAATACTTTTGCAAATAAAACAAGGAAATGGAACGAGGCCTATAAAAATGGTGAATAATATTAGTTTAATGAAGAAAAGTTTCCATCTTTGAAGCCTGGGAAATTCAAAAATCAAAATAATCTGCATATGGATTAAGCTTTAATGAATGTAGATCAGAAAATGATTTACTCCGTAAGATCCAATTGCATTAAATACAGTGGGGGAAAAAAAGGATGGTAAATAATCACATCTGCTAAAGAAGAAGAAGAAGAAATCGAGGATATTATCGACCAAATGTCAAGTGCAAAATCAGATCTAAGGAAGCTCTGGGAAAGCACAAGAAAGAGAAAGAGACCTCTTGGTGGGTAACGAGCTGAGAGAGTGAGAGAAGGGAAGACTTTCTTGCGACAGTGGCGGTCGGAGAGGGAGCAAGATCGCCGGGAGAAAGGAAAGATTTATGGGTTGTGAAGAAGGGAGAAAGAAGAGAAAAAGGAAACATGTTGCACCGGAGATGTGATTTATAGATTAGACGAGAGAGTTATCTTAGGAAAGAGAGAGAGTCGCAAATGGAGACATCAAAGGAAGGGGCAAGTAGGTAGCTTGCCAGGCTGCCTCCCTGCGGTTGTTGGCGGGGGCGTGTGAAATGTGCTCTTTAACGATTGACCAACCACATCTCTATAAACTAATTATCATTAGACCATGTGACAACATTTCCATTTTAAAATTACGAGTACAAATATTATAGAATATAAATATTTGAAAAGTTATTATACAATGAATACAAAAATAATGATTAATCTTGAACTAAAAGATTAAAAATATAATTACTCATTGACTCCTCGATTTTTTCAAACATGCTCCACCAAATCTTCTTTAAGCACGTTATGTATTTCTCTACTTCGACTTCGGCGCGAATCTCATTCATTTCGTCCTTCGAAATTTCTACTTCCAGAACGTCGACGTCCTTGCAATTTTAGCACATGACTTTCCTTTTATCTCCTAAAATCATGTTGTGCAGAATGTAAATATATCAATGATTTTATATATTATTATTACGGCTATTACCCATTATAGTTAGAGTTGCTATTATATAATATGGAATACTACCTTATCATATTAGCCATTAATGTAGAGAGTTCTAGAATATATTCCACTATCTATAAATAGATGCCTTGCATTCCCTCTTTATTTATTCAAACAATAAAGCATTATTTATTATTTTTACATGGTATCAGAGTCTTCGTTCCTGATGACCTAATACATTCTGATGGTCACCGTCGTTGTCGCTGGTGGTATGGCTGGACACGGTACCGGTACGGTACCGTTACCGGCAACGGTACCGCCGGTACCATCTACCGTCACCGTCGCACGGCACGTCCCACCGGTGCCGGGAACCGGTACCGGAACCGCCCCAACCGGTACCGGTACCCAAATTTTCGTCCCGGAACCGCCGGTACCGATACCGTTACTTTGTTTTTTTTTCCTGCACCTGCAACAGATCGACCAACCACCTGCAAAAAAAAAAGAAGGGAAACATTAAAGGGAAGGGGGATTAGTCTTCAACGGGAGGAACAAGTGGCCTGCAAAAAAAATTACTACTATTAAACAGATCGACACACTTTAAACAGATCGGAACACATGGGGGACTAGTCTTCAACAGATTGGCAGTTCGGCACACTTTAAAAATTTTAAAAAAAGCAAAAAAAGGGGGGGAGGCGAAACCGGCCGGTCCGATACCGGAACCGCCGGTCCGGGAACCAGAACCGGTACCGGCCGGTCCGGTCACGGTGCCGGTGCCATGGGGTGGCGGTACCGGAACCAGCGGTTCCGGAACCGGAACCGTACTGTGTCCACCCCTAGCTGGTGGTTTACTCAGTGACGACGGTCTCACTCTACTTGTTTCCCCAATAACCATCTGACATGCTCCTCCATCCGACTCCGGATCCATCACAGTCGCTTCTTGATTTTATTTTTATATCATATCGTCACCTCAACCTACTTAGTCAGTAGATCTTCGGTCAACATGCATCTCTGACAGAACCTCTTTGTTTTGTCTCTAAACCACGACTCCAGTGCACGTCAACCTTCTCCCTTCTTTGACGTCAGCGGCATGAGTCTCTCTGTAACAGCTCTTCTCCGATCCTCCTCGATACCGACATATCTCTTTTCCGACAATCTTTCTTCTTCTCTTCTGGTCCGAATGCATTCAGTCTGTTATAACCGAAATATGCATCTAGCTTCTGATTACGAGTACGACTATCATTCAATTTAAAGTTAGCATTCAATCCTCACTATTCACGACATTGGGAGCATCATAAATATATCAATTGTTTAATATATTTAAACAATTGATAAATCGTTTATTATTATTAAGGTTGTAACCTAATATATTTGGAGTTATTATTATATAGTATTACGTTATATTATTAGTCATTAATGTGGAGGATTCTAGAATATATTCATCCACCTATAAAATAGATGTCTTGTATCCCCCCCCCCTTTATTTATTTTATTAAATAATTATTTATTATTTTTACACAGAATAATGCAAGCATACATAGCATCTCTAATTTTGTTCTTTTCCCACATACGACATGGATTGTGACAATACGCTATTTTCATATAAGAACACCAAATGCTCTTCCAATATCATTCCTCGCTAACTCACGTGTCTTCTTGAAATACATTCTTTTTTCATCCTCCGCGCGGGGGGCATGGATAAAAGAAGATGGAGGCGCAACGTCGCTATAAACATCATCAAATATTGAGGATTGGTTGAGGATATTGATATCGTTACACTAGAAAAGATCTATCCGAGTGCTCTATCATTTTTCAGCTGTTTGAATTTAGAATTATAGACCATATTTTTTTGTACATTAAGAGCTTGTTATTTAGGACTGAAAAAAAGAACTGGATGTTGGAAGAAACTGGAAGGAACTAGAAGGACGGGAAGAAACTCAAACTTGGAAGGAACTGGAAGAATCCGGAAGAAATTGAAAAAAATAAAAAAATATGAAAAAATAGAAAAAATTAGAAAATCTAAAACAAACCTTTTTGTGTGTTTTTATATTATTCTCATTCTAATTCTTGTTGTTATAAATTATTATTATTATTATTATTATTGTTGTTGTTGGTGTCATCACGTTATCTTAATGAATGTCTTTAAGATAAAAAATATTTTTATTTTTCATACAAAAAAACTACTTTTGAAAAAAAAATTAGAATATAAAATTAACATAAATATCAGACGTTAAATACTTAAAAGTTATTACAAGATTTGCCATTATATTTTATACGAACTATATTATAAGATTTTGTTTTAAATATCAGACATGTCACATAATGTAATCAAACATATTTTTTCTTTAATGATTAACATTTTATTTTTATTTATAACCCTACTTCTAGGATAAAGTCATAGAACTTTTTTTTAATATTTTTTTATGTTTTACTCATACTTTAGTCATTTCTCTAAACTACTTTGAATTTCAAATTTTTTTTATAAAAATTAGATAAATGAAAAACAAAACTAATTTTTTAAATAAATAAAAAGAGAAAAAATTGAGTAATAAAGTATACTTTTTTTTTTATTTTTATAAATTGAATTTCAAAAGTATATATATATTTTTTTAGTTTTATTTTAATTATTGGTGATATTACTTGTTATCTGAATTTCTTTTTTACACTTTTTGGGTCATTTTTTGTTTTTCAAAATGTAGTTCTCTATTGGTTTTCATTATGTAGTACTCCCCACGCCCATTCCATTTTTATATTTTAGATTAAAATATTGATGTTTAGCTTATATAAATTTAGATTAAAAACCAATCAATGTAACTATTTTATCTATAATTTTTTAAATAGTTTAAAATATTGATGTTTTTCTATTTTATCATGTAGATTAATATACCAAAAATAGTATTTTTCATATTTAAAGGTTGAAAATTAATAATAATGAGTGTGAATCATAAAAATAGTGAGATGAAAAAAATGAAATAATTTATAAACTATAGTTATGAACATAATAGTTGTAATAATAGTAATATTAATAATAATATTTTTTAGAGTGATAAGTCAAAAAGTAGAAAGAGTTTGAAGAAAATAAAAATAGTTGGAAGATACTGGAAGGAACTAAAAAACAGGAAGAAACTGGAAAAAACTGGAAGGAACTGGAAGAAATGTAAGAAAATGAAAGAAACGAGAAAAGGCTGGAAGGAACTGGAAGAAACGGGAAGGAACTGGAAGAAACTGGAAGTTAAGAATTTAAGTTCTAAAGAACAGGCTCAAAAAGAGATTTATACAAGTGCTCAATAGCTTTCCAGATGTTTGAGTTTAGAATTTTAGAGCTTTTTTGTACATTAAAAGAGAAGGTATATACGAGTTCTCAAATGCTCTTTTGATATTTTTGTTTAGAATTTTCGACCTTTAAAAAAAGGTTTATTCAAGTACTAAATTACTTTTCAGATGTTTGATTTCAGATTTTTTGTACAATAAAAAAGGTCTATTCGGGTGCTCAATTGCTCAAGACCTTATTTGTTTCGTACAATAAAAAAAGTTTATCGAGCGCTCAATCACTATTCATATATTTGAGTTTAAAATTTTAGGTCTTACTTTTATCATCTAATAAAATAAGGTCTATTCGAGGAGTGACGCTAACATGGTCTGAAGGTCCAAATCTTGTATGTGGATTTTTTTTACAAAGACCGAATTCTTTTATGCTACAAGTACACTAAGGTCCATAAAATGATAATGGACCTTAGGTCCATGGAAGAATTTGCCTTATTCGAGTGCTCCATCGCTTTTCAAATGTTTAAGGTTAGAATTTTAGACACTTTTTTGTACGATTGAAAAGATTTAGGCTAAAATCCACCATTGATTCTTCAACTTTGTGAGTTGTGCACGATTGGTCCTTCAAGTTTCAAAAGTTCATAAATAGTCCTTCAAGTATTCAACAACCTCTAAATCTAGTCTTTCAGTTTCTTTCAGTTCTTTTCAGTTCTTCCTAGTTTCTTCCAATTTCTTCTAGTTTCTTTCAACTATTCTCATTTTTCTTCAAACTCTTTCTACTCTCCAACCAATTAGTCTAAAAACGATATATTTTTAATGTGATTATTATTATTACAACTGCTATTTTCATAACTATAGTTTATAAATTATTTTTTTATCTCAATATTTTTACGATTCACACTCATCATTTTTTCTTCACTTCTTTAATATGAATAAGACAATTTTTATATATATTAATCTACATGATAAAACAGTAAAACATCAATATTTTGAACTACATTAACAATTTATGGATAAAATAGTTACATAAAATGTTTTATTAATTTAACTTTATATAATACCCATCACCTTTCCCTTTATTGCTCAAATTTGTCTCATTTTTCTCTTTTTTATTAAAAAGTTTGAAAGTCAATATAGTTTAGATAAAAAGACTAAAATAGGAGTAAAACATAAAAAATGTAAAAAAAGTTCTATACCATTATTACAAAAATAGAAGTAACAATGATAAAATAAATATCAATTATGAAAGAAAAAATAGGTTTGATTACATTATGTGACATGTCTGACATTTAAAATTAAATCTTGATTATATAAAGTATAATTACAAATATAATATTTATAATAAATATTGCATAAATAAATTGAGGTGCAACGTAACCATAATTACTTTTCAAAATTTAACATTTTGATATTTATGCTAACTTTATGTTATAATTATTTTTTGGAAAAGTATTTTTTTTGTGTATGAAAAATAACAATATTTTTTTATATCTTAAAAGCATTCATTAAGATAACGTGATGATGATGATGATAATAATAATAATAATAATAATAATAATAATAATAATAATAATAATAATAATTTATAAGAGCAAGAACTAGAATGAGAATAATATAAAAATACACTAAAATAAATTTTATTTAGGTTTTCCCAATTTTTAAAGTTTTTCTAGTTTCTGATAGTTCTTTCTAGTTTTTTTCCAGTTCTTACCATTCTTCTAATTTTTTCCAATTCGTTCTAGTTTTTTTCAGTTGCTTTCAACTTTTTTTAATTTCTTCAATATTCAGTTTTTTTCCTAGTATTTTATAGTTTTGATATTTTTTTTGTGATCCATGATCTAGATTTTTTCTAGAAATTAAGGTATCTGTCCAGGGGACAATGTTTGGGTACACGTTGAAAATGAAAACCTGGAACGAGAGAAATCGCTAAAAACGAAAGAGAGACGATCGCTATAAAATACGGAGTAATCACTAGAAGGCGGAACAGACGGCGACGATCCGAGCAGAAGGCGACGGTCGGCCGAGGAGACGACGCAATCCGTGCAGGCGAGGCGAAGGTCAGATGCCGAGAAGGGAAGCTTATTGCGGATGGGGTAGGGTTTTCTTTTTAAGAGTTACAAGTAAATGAAATCTTGGTTGGGTCGGGTCTCCACTGCCAGGATTTCGACTACTCTTCGTCTCCGACGATTAGTCTACTCATGGTCGACTACCGGAAGATCGGGATACTCTTAGTCGCTAGGCGGTAGCTCAGTATGCATGATTTGAGTAAGAGAACTTATCTTAGTTATCTAATCCCGTTTGACAACAACTTCAGCATTTAGCTTTATTTTCTTGAAAAAAGCTATCTAGTGATAGCATTTAGCTTCAGCCTTTTCAAATTAATTGTTTTCAAAAGTTAATCTATGCCATTAAAAGTTTTCCAAAACTTTAATGGCACTTGGATTTCCTTTTATTTTATAACTTCAGTCACAAGGGAGAGAAGTGCTGGTACAAAGTACCTCATCTAATTTGTAGTTACTTCATAGGCAAGCTGATACGATTTGGTTGCCTGGAAACATTTTTATGAAATCTGGTTGATACATTGTTTCAAATGGGTTTGTATGCTTTAGCAGAGAAATGTAGTGCTACTATGATTATTGGAATACTATATTTTCTTTCAGTCAATCACATCACTCTGATGTTTTGTATGAACTATTTATTTTGTGTTTTGAGCTTATCATTGTGAATCTGGTGTGATTTTTGGAAATTCCCCTCATATTTTTAGTGTGTGATCCCTATCTACAAATGTGGAGTCCCAACAATGATTGGAATTTTTCTTTTGAATTTTCAAAACTTTGAGTAGGTTTTGAAGACGTGGGGAGGGAGTGGGGGGGGGGGGNTGGATATTTAGAAATGCTACCCACCTGCCCCATTACAACTTGGCATGCTTAAGTGTTGTATGTCTCTATAAGCATTTTTATCTTATGTTTAATGCAAATCCTTGTACACCTTACTCTACGTGTTCTGATGCTTATGCCGTACTCAGATACAATAATACCTATTATTGTGTTTAGCCTATCAAACTGAAAGCACTTCAATCTAGCCGACTTTGTCATCAGTATCTCAAGAAGGTATCCCGGCAATGAAGAAGAACAGCAGCAACTCCTTAGGCACAGATAATAGTCGAACTTTGCCTGTTGATCTGAACCTTCCCCGTTACCTCTGTCAGAACTGCCATAATTCCCTTTGCATAGTTGGGGTTGATACTTATGCCGAAAAGTTTTTTTCCAGTGACTCCTCGTTCTCTCCATCTCGCTCAGGTAAATCATTGTTACACTGCCTAATTTTCGTGTACGAAATGCTACTGATCGTGATGCTTCGTTTCACTTATGCTTTCCTTTAATAAACTTTATGTGCAATTGTTATGGACTTTTGTCTAATAATCGTAATCTAATTTTGTTTGTACCCTTTATCAAGTTGCAGTTTGTTTTAAGAGGGTTGTGCCTCAGAGGCATCTAGAGCCCACCCTTTTGAGTCTCTTAGTGCCTCTGGTCATTTATATTTACAATAGCTTATATTTGGTCACCCTTTAAACCTGATACTGATGCTAATTTGAATTGGGGATGCAGGGATGCAGGCTTCTTCCATCCATGGAGTTGCCAGTATAACTGGCGGGTCCACACGTATGGAAAATTCATTTGTTGTGTTGCCCAAACAAGGAAACCATCATGGGCAGGTGGTTCGTCCTCGTACTCAAGAGGTAGCCACCAACCATCCCCCTGATTCAAGCCAGTTTGGAAGGGCAGGCATGGAAGAGTCTTTTGTGGTGTTGCCTCCACCAGCTGCTTCAGTTTATCATCAGTATGCAATTGCATCAGATGGAGCAGCTGGGACTAATCAAGATGATCCCACCTCCAGCGTCCCTATACACCCAAGCAATCCATGCTTCCACTCCACTATCACCATGCTAAATCGTGCATTTGAGATTGCCACCACACAAACCCAGATTGAGCAACCTTTATGTCTTGAATGCATGCGGGTGCTATCTGATAAACTTGATAAGGAGGTTGAGGATGTTAACAGGGATATAAAAGCATATGAAGCTTGTCTTCTGAGAGTAGAGGGCGAGGCAAGGAGTGTTCTTACTGAGGCTGATTTTATGAAGGAGAAGATCAAGGTGATTGATCAATGTCAATCCTTCAAATCTCTCTCCCCCTCTCTCTCTCTCTCTCTCGTCTTTATACTTCCTCAGTCCTAAAATTGATATCACTTCATGGTTAGATTCAATTTATTTAAATATTGATGTAAAATTATAAAATACTTTTCATATTTTTTAAAATTATGTACATAAAAAAGATCTATAAACAAGAGGTGACATGATTATATTATTTTAAATTATAAAATACTTTTCATATTTTTTAAAATTATGTACATAAAAAAGATCTATAAACAAGAGGTGACATGACTATATTATTTTATCAATAGAGTAGCTAAAATAAGTATAGAAAAAGAATACTGTTTGACCTGTGAATAGTGGACAGTGGCATCCATTTTGAGACATAGGGAGTCTTTTTTCAGAATAATTTACTCGTAAGGTAGAGTCAATTTAAAAGGCGTGTTTTAGCATGCATATACCTATATTAATTTGAATTCTGTTCACTTATTAATGATTACTAGAGGAATTTGTCAAAATATTATCATGAAATATGAGAAAAACTTGTGAGCTATTGTTCATAACAATCATAAGAAAATATAAATTGCAGGAAGTAAATATATCATTGATTGAATGGCTTTTCTATATGTGCTTATGAACACATCTTAGTCCATCTTACTTAGATGTGTATTTGTTTTTGGATTTGTAAGTTTACTGGTAGCATCGGCCTATTTGACTAAAAGGTTGTCATCTATGTTCCTTGTTCGTAGGTTATAACAACCAACATATCTTTGCCACTTGATATCACGATGTTATCTTCCATGCATCAAAGCAACATTACAGTCATGTTGGTTTTACCACACCTTTTAAAAATTTGACAGAAGTGTAATAAATGGAACTTAGCACATTAAAACACATTTGCAAAGTTATATGCATCTAGATTTATTTCTTTATATATTTAAATATTCTTGTTGTCAATGTTATTCAAGATAGAAGAAGAAGAACAGCAACTTGAAGCGGCAATAGAAGAAACAGAGAAGGAATGTGCTGAAGTTACTGCTGAGCTAAAGGAACTTGAACTCAAATCTGGCCGCTTTAAGGAATTGGAAGAAAAGTAATATGCACTCAAAAATTAGTTTTTATCCTATACATGACTAGATACAATTTGCATAGTTAGCTTATATTATTTGTTCATGGTTGACGTACTCCCTTATTGCTTTTCCATTTTTGAAATTATTAGACTTATGTTCCATATAATATTGTCTCAGGTATTGGCAAGAATTCAACAATTTCCAGTTTCAGTTGATCTCTCATCAGGTTTCTCTAATTACTAGTTAGTAGTTATGATTAGCTTTTAACTTCCTATCTTTTTACATATTCTTAATCCATCCCATATTAACATAAACACATTTCTCAATTGGTTCAAAGTTTTAAAAGTTACAAATGTTTATGAAGGCTTATTCTTCCGCATATTTAACATAGTAATTAGATGATGGTAGAAATACCGACATGTGTACTTTCATTGATCCCACTAGACTAGATGACTACAGAAAACATTTTTCTGTATGGTTTCTGTGGGCAAGATTATTGAAAGAAAGTTTGTCCACAGGAAGAGAGAGATGCAATATTGGCTAAAACTGAAGTCTCTCTAGCTCATTTGGAATTATTGAAGCGAACAAATGTCCTTAATGATGCATTTCCAATTGGTCATGATGGAGAATTCGGAACAATTAACAACTTTCGCTTGGGAAGACTTCCTAAAATTCCAGTATGTAATTCAAAACTTTTATTTGGAAGTTTTCTCTGGTAAATGAGTTTAGTGCCTGCTTTTTTTTGCATTCAAAACTTTTATTTGGATGTTTTATTGTTTATGTTTATATTATTGAATTCTCAAACAAAATTTTCTTTCACTTGAATATTTTAAAGGTGTTGTTTTTCATGATAATGGCTAGGTTGAATGGGATGAGATAAATGCTGCATGGGGCCAAGCTTGTTTACTTCTCCATACAATGGCTCAATATTTCCGACCTAAGTTTCCGTATCCTTTGGCTGAATTATACATTGCTTTTGTTGGGGTTTTTGACTATAGAGTTAAAAGATTCATTATGGACAATCTTTTCACTTTGAGTAAATAAGAACTTCTATTTCAGAGAACTGTAAACATCCTTTCCTTTCTATGGAAAACTTGGTAATTAATGCAACAATGCGTCACGAGTAATGCTGCACACATCTGAACCCCTCCCTCTCCAGATCCCAATGGGGTTGGGATTATACTGGGATATTGCTATTGTTAGTGCTTTTGGAAGTGTATGTGTGGTGACTGTTTTAAGAAGTTGCAATGTTAACTATTTGTACTTAGATATCGGATAAAAATTCTTCCAATGGGAAGTTATCCCCGGATCATGGACACCAACAACAGTACTTATGAGCTGTAAGTCAATAGTATATAAAAAGAAATATAAGAACATTATTCAAGAAAAGGTTTACATAGTTTTGATTATCATTTACTGCTTTAACTCTACACAAATTTGTTTCAAAACATTTTCTTTATTGGCCGAATGCAAGTAGTAGTTATGTTTTTTTATTATGCTTCTGCCTGGTAAAGATTATGGTAGGAAAAAACGGATTATGGTAGAAATGTAGTCATCTTAACCCGGTTAAGTGGTGTTTGTTCCGGTTGCAATGGAATCTTTGCAGCCTACAATTGTACTTATAATCCTTAGAATGCCTTTTAGACCTTACCCCTACTTGCTCTCTGTTTATTGTCGTACTATATGCTTTGTGTGTTGCTCGAGTAGGGGGTCTTTTTTGGAAACAACCTCTCTACTTTTAAGTAGGGGTAAGGTCTGTGTACACACACCCCCTCCCCAGACCCTACTATCGTGTGATTTTACTGGGTTGTTGTATAAATTATACGTAGTATCTAATAGGCTTATAGGCAACACTATCTCATATTTTTCAACTTCTTCCATTCACCAAAACTCTTCTTGTTTCGTTTTTACGTGTAAAACCCCATCTTTTAAAAATAATTTTATTTATCTAAAAATTACATCGAAAGTTCTACAAAATAAGTGGTGATAAGAAATTTTATTTTATCAAATGACTAATAAAAAACGCGAACAAAAGTTATCGAACACCCTTGGATAGTTAATAGGAAGGATTTTGGTGAACAGAGGGAGTATAATTTTTTTGCTTGTTCCAGATTTTGACTAATAAAGAACGCGAACACTGATGAGTTTTGTACATTTTGAAGCTTTGGTCCAGTGAACTTGTTCTGGAGCACGCGCTATGACAAGGCCATGACCTTGTTCTTGAATTGCCTCAAGGAATTTGCTGATTTTGCAAATGGTAAAGATAGAGAGAACAACATTCCTCCTGACAAATGTTTTAGGCTTCCCTACAAGTAAATTTCTATCTATCTGACCTTGAAGCATTTGCATTTTTATTGTTTGAGAAATGATGCTGCTTTTATCTTCTTTTATGGAACTCGTGAATCATGATTAAGCTTGAAGCCTATCCCTCTAAACTGTCATTGCTAATATGATTTTGAAGCTCGTGAATTGGAGATACATTTTGGACCTGTTTGGGTAACCAGAATTACTAGGGAAAGAACACATGAACAAAAAATACTCTGTATAAAAATGGAAATAAAATCTTAGGATAATAAATGTACTTTTGATATTTATTGATACTCAACAACAACAAAACCCAGTGTACAATCCCTGAAAAATATATGGGGCATTTAGCATGCTCTGTAATGAGCAAGTTGGTTGTATAGATGATCAAGATTAAATTGCTTCGTAAGGTGGCAACATTCTGATGGTCCATATCCTCAACATGCTCATTATAAAGCGTCTCTATATTTTTTGATAAGGGTTTGGAGAGTCAAGATGTACCTTGCCTTAGCCGTGTAAAAAGCAGAGATATTGTTTTCGTTAGACCTTGGTGTACTGCTGCAAATACTGATTATTATTCAAAAGTTACATCGAAAGTAAGAAACAAAAGATGTTTAAATATCCATTTTGTTCTAGTCCATTTGAATATTTGTTGAACTCGTTTTTTCTTTATTCATGTCTACTCTATAAATACTAAGAATTTTAAATATATGTAAAAATTTGAAGAAAAATCAGAAATTACTTGCATTCTCTGGTACCTCCCCCCCCCCCCTTTCCCTAGCATTTTAAGGAATTGTGCAAATTTTATGAGTTGAACTTCAAGTAAATTCCTTAAATGGTCTTTTGTAACAAAAGGTATTTCGTATATAGTCTCATATTTCAAGATATTACATTCGTGATCCTCAATATTTGAGAATTATTCTATATTTAGTCCTTTGAGAACTATATATGGAAAACAATATTTAGCCCAAAGGACTGATTATGGAAAATTCTCAAATATTGAGGACCACCAATGTAATATCTTAGATTAGGGACTATGAACTTGTTATTTTCATCTGATCTGATTAGAATAAGTTATTGTTTGATTTTTCCCAAATTGATTGTAGTTATATTTAAAACTGCAACAATAATAAGTAATAAGCAATTAGAATAAGTTGAAGAGAACAAGCTTTATATATATGAAAAACCCTCTACTAGAATGGACCATTTATGGAATTCACTCTTTGAACTTTGCAAATGTCATTATGTTGGCATCTTCAAAGTGTCAAAAACCTGGGGGATTCCTTCTACTAGCATGCTAATATTGTATTTTAACTGCATGTATGTATCTTATTGTTCTCGCAGGATTGAGAGCGACAAAGTAGAAAATTGCTCAATCACCCAAAGCTTTAACAAACAGGAAAATTGGACCAAAGCACTCAAGTACACCCTCTGTAACTTGAAATGGGCGCTATACTGGTTCGTGAGGAACACAAACTTCCAACCTCTTTCCTCCCCTGCTGCCGCCGCCCCCTCTTCTCAACCAGGTGCAAGTTCTACATAGTATCAAAGACTATACCTGATCCAAAATATACATGTGTCTCATATGTGTGAAGTACATCAATATTGACAGTTTAGTCATCCAGCATTGTAGATTTCATTGTAGATTTTGTAAATAAAAATCTATCCTCGCTGTGGTCTTCTTTTAATGTTCGCCTTCGCTCTTGAGCTCATTATTCATTTTGTGTTGCGTAATGCATAATTTACGAAAACAATAACCATATCTTGTACTCCAACTATTTATGATTAATAAAAGATGAATTGGCCTGTCTTTCAATTTTTTCCCTTGTTCTGCTGTGTTACTTTTGTTATGAGTTATAGGCCACGTTCTCTTTATCAGATTTGAATAGTTCTGATATGATTGGAATAGGTTCTGGTCTAATCTGATATGAATGTAGTTATATTTTAAGTTATTTTTGATCCGATCTGATCTGATTTTAATAAGAATAAGTAATAACTAAAAAAAGGTTGAGGAGAACATGGCCATTCTCTTGGAAATAGTTTCTTCAATGAATATGTAGGGATTTCATAAGGTTTGTGTATTCCAACCTTCTCTAGACTAGACCTTATTCTGTGACATTTTTATTGGGGTTGTTGTAAGATTAAATAATTATATATAAAAAGTAATAAAAATGTCTAAAGATTAATTGGTCCCTTAGGTAGTTGTATTCATTCAATTGACATATTTATAAAATCACCCGGTTTCTTTGACATTGCTAAGCAATGTCATGAGATGACCCGGGATACGTACGGTGCTCCGTTCGTAATATTGACGGTTCTTATTCCTCTTAACTCTCCCGGTAAATCCTTTTTACTCTGCCCCGCCCTGAACCCACTTCTTTAATTGCATCCCCCATGTTTAATTGACTTTGGAGTCTATAAAATTCTTTGTTTTAAAGCACAATGCACTGTGAATAGTATCAATTTGAACAGAATATTCCCTTCATCTCACACTTAACTTCAAAGTTTTATTTTATATATTTGTGAATAATGTGAAAAAGTGAAAGATATGTAAAAAAAGTATAATAAACAATATACTTGGGCTTAAATTGGAAATTGGGGGTTGGATTGAAATATATGTAGTTGAGGTTTATTTATAAGAGCAGCTATTCTGCTTATAAACTCGGATATTTCTAATAAGAAAGAGATTTGGTGGGTCAAGTGGATACATAACAGAGATATTAAACAATCTGATTTTTGGAGTTATACTCCTAAAACATGACTTTCTCCCCACTATTAAAGAGAGACAATATAAAAATAAGAGATTTTTTTTCAGAGATATGCCAAAAGGACAACAGGTTTGGTGTTATTTCTAATGGAATTGAATTAGGAATTAAAATTTTAGGGAATTATTTCTAATGGAATTGAATTCTCCAATTCTAATTCATTTTTGGCACTCTATCAATTCTAAATCTCCATATTTTTGTGCTACCAAACACTAGAATTGGAATTATTGTCCCAATTCCATATTTTAAATTTTGTGTACCAAACGGGACCTAATGGTCTGTTTCGCACACAGAATTGATGGAATTGGAAATTGATATTCTACAGAATTGATTCTGATTAAATTGAATTCTCCAATTCTAATTCATTTTTGGCACTATCAATTTCAATCCACATATTTTTGTGCTACCAAACACTAGAATTGGAATTATTGTCCCAATTCCAATTCCATAATTTAAATTTCGTGTACCAAACGGAGCTTAAGGATCCATTTGGTACACGGAATTGAAATTGAATTGGAATTTAAAATTCTATGGAATTGAATACTCCAATTCTAATTTATTTTTGGCACTATCAATTCCAAATCCATATATTTTTGTGCTACCAAACACTAGAATTGAAATTGTTGTTCGCATTCCAATTCCAAAGTTTAAATTCCGTGTACCAAATGGAGCCTAATCTGTTTGTTACACGAAATTCAAATTATAGAATTACAATTGAGGACAATAATTCCAATTTTGCTGTTTGATAACACAAAAAATGTGTAGATTTGGAATTGGTAGTGCCAAAAGTGAATGGGAATTGGAGAATTAAATTTTTTCAAATCAATTTCATAGAATTTCAACCCTCAATTCAATTCTAATTCTGTCAATTCCGTGTATCAAACAGACCCTAACGCTTGACCACTTTGAACAGATAGCTCCCACATTACAATAAAAAGATCCATTTTCACCAAACCACCATCTAATTTGATGTTGCATGCTATACAAAAACAAAAGAGAGAAATTACAAACACAATTACACTGTACAAGCAGAGCCCCGCTGAACCCACCCTCTGCCCAGGAACTTGCACATAGATATATATATATATATATATATATATATATATATATATATATATATATATATATATATATATATATATAAACATGAAGAAACAAGGGAAAGACTACCCATTTTGGCTAAATCCACTCCTTTCATGATAAATGGACGATTTTGCCCTCAAAAGTTGGCTTACATCTAATGCCCCTCTTTCATACTTTTAAGGGTAGTAATTTTCTATTTACCATAAAGGAAGTGATTTAGCCAAAATGGGAGTGAATATAGCAACACCCACCCTTTCCATTATCATTATCATCATCATCATCATCATCAAGAATTCGCTGCAGATTTTTCGAAGGTGGATGGTTCTGCATCAACCAGCATGTTCACAACCTCTTTCATGCTGGGGCGTAGACTCGGGAGCTTCTTGACGCACATCATCGCAATTCTCAGCACTTTGATCATCTCGTCCTCAAGACCCGCCACTCCAATCCTTGGGTCAAGAATCTTGATGACACTCTCTCGGTCATCAAGCTGAGAAGAAACCCAATAAACTATATCCTTCCCTTCTCCATAGCCATCTTCTATTGGAGCTCTACCTGTGACTAGCTCCAGTAACACTACTCCAAAACTGTACACATCATTCTTCTCGGTCACTCTCAGAGTGTATGCCATCTCTGCACATACACACACAGACATAATAATGCTTATGAAAAAGTGGATATATATATATAACAAAAATTGATTGTTCAAGTTCTTTTATGTGGTTTGGAAGCTTACTTATGATCTTTTCCGTTTAACTTATTTTTTCAGCTTATGACTTATTAGAATCAGATAAGACCAGAAACAACTTTAAATATAACTACAGTCAGCCTTACCTGGAGCCATGTAACCGTGAGTGCCAGCAAAAGAAGTGAATTCAGTTCCCAACGAAGAGACATCTGCGATCTTTGCAATCCCAAAGTCAGAAACCTTTGCCTCGTAGTCCTCATCAAGGAGAATATTGGTTGATTTGATGTCTCTGTGGATAATGGGAGGAGAACAATGATGGTGTAGGTAAGTGATTCCTTTAGCAGCTCCGAGAGCGATTTGGTACCTCTGAACCCAACTCAGGTCTGGCTTACCAATGTGAAGTGCCTGGAAAAGATTGCCATTTGGCATGTACTCGAATACCAAGATATTTGAACCTTCACTCATAAGACTTGCATAAAGTTTCACTATATTTCGGTGCCTGATCTTCCCTAGAATCTCCATTTCTCTACTCGAAACCTTCACTCCATTTCCCACCCAGAGTTTCTTCACTGCAACTGTGCCATAACTCTTCTTCAAATCCACCCGGTACACTTTTCCCGTTCCCCCACTCCCAACCAAATGGTCTTCATCCAAATTGTTGCATATTTCATCTGCATCCAGCTCTATTTTGTGGAAGCTTTCAAGTTTCCATTTCGCCTTGAGATCCTTTGCTTCCGCCGGGTGTTTCTTTGTGTCCATATCACCACTATGGTTGTAGTTCCAGTAAGTCGTGACCAACAACACACCCAAGAAAACAGCTAAAGAGAACAAAACAATGAAGTGAACAAACAACCTTTTCATCACAGTTCCACGATGAACGCGATTTCCTTCACACACACTTAACACTGTGTTGGACTGAGCTCTGACTCCTTGATCAATACACAGTCTTTCGTTTCCGAGAAATGCCCTTTCTCCACCCATAATCCAAACATCGCTTGAAACTTCCCCAGACAGCTGATTGTTAGAGAAATCAATGGAAGATAGTTTCAGATTGTTCAAGTTCCTCGGGATTGGGCCAGTAATCTTGTTGCTAGAGAGATTCAGGGAGTTCAGAGAGGCGATCAGAGTTATCGAATCCGGGATGCTTCCACTAAGAAGATTTGAGGCAAGGTTTAGATCTGCCAGCCTTGGACATTGACCCAACTCTGTTGGTATTGATCCTATGAGGGAGTTCTTCTCCAAATGTAAAGATGATATTTGCCTTAACAAGCCAAGTTCAGATGGTAATGGTCCGGAAAAGTCATTGTCATCCAAATAAAGCTTTTGCAGTTGTGTGAGTTTGCCAAGTTCTTTTGGGAGTTCACCCGAGAATTTGTTGTTCGACAATATTAAATGGTCCAGGTTTGTAGCAGTCCCAATTGCTGTAGACATACGCCCGGTGAAATTGTTATTGCTGAAATCCATCATATTCAGGCTTGGAAGTGCCCACACCCCATCAGGTATCTTTCCAGAGAATTGATTATTTGTGAGCCTGAGCCTCTCTAAGCTCTTACAGGAAGCATAGGTCTCTGGGAATTCCCCAGAGAATCTATTTTCCACTGCGAACAACTTCTGCAAGTTCCCATTTTGGCACAAGTATTTTGGGAATGCACCCGAAAAACCATTCTCTGAGATGTCTATGACATTCAAGGGAGAAAACCGCCCGAGATTTTCAGGGATTTCTCCGGTAAAACTATTCATGTAGACAGAGAAGGCCATGAGATTCTCCATCTCTCCAAAACCCGGAGGGATTTCTCCCGAGAAATTGTTCCTGAAAACGTGGAAAACTGTCAAGTATCTCAACTTCCCTAACCCAGGAGGGAGAGTCCCATGCATTTGATTGTTGGAGACATCAAGTTGTTGCAGAAGGGTGAGGTCTCCCAGTTCTGGTGGGAGTTCTCCAGTGAGATTATTTTGATAGAGCTCTATTTGCAGGAGACTTTTCATGTTCCCAATCAACTTGGGGACACTCCCTGTAATCTGATTCCTGCAAATATCCAGTGTTTCTAGCGCTTGCAATCCAAATATCGAGTCCGGGATTTCCCCTCCCAGATTTGAACCAGCTAGGTACAGCCAAGTCAGGTTTTTCAGATTTCCAAGGCTTTCAGGAATCTTTCCCTTATCGTAGTTGTTATCGCCAAGGCCTAGTGACACCAAACTAGTCAGATTTCCAACCCATGATGGGAACTCTCCAGAAAAGTAGTTCACTGACAAGTCAAGAATCTCCAAGCCAGTTATCATGGACAAATTGGGTATTTTTCCATTCAAGTCATTCCCTGACACATTCAAAACTTTGAGATTGGGGCAACTGGCCAATTCGCCGGGGAGAGGCCCAGATAATGAATTAGAAGGTAACACTACTTGAGCAAGGCTCTTAAGAGCAGCAATGGATGGAGATATCACCCCTGACAGGTTCTTCGAGTCGAGGAAAATTCCTGTGACCAAACCGGTTTTTTGGTCACAAGTAATTCCATCGAACTTGCAAGGGGAGTATGAATCTTTCCAAGAATCCAAGCATTTTTGAGGATCAATAAGCTTGTTTTTGAATTCAAGAAGGGCCCGAGTTTCCACACTCTGAGGCATGGATGGAACAATCAGTAAAAATGAGACAATCACAAGAATTATGCACTCTAACTCTCTTTTCCTGGCCATCGTGGAAGCTGAATGAGGCAAAATGGTCATATCACAGCAGAAAAACTAATTCAAACCCAAAAGAGTTCTCCATTGTGCCAATGTGAGCCCATCCACAGAGTACCTGAAACTCAAAAACATAAGAGCAACAGTATATCAAGATCAAAACAGTAAAAAGAGCATATAATTTGTGAAAATGAAAAGAACTCACAAATCTTTCTTGTAAAGTGAAGCCTACGTTTCTGTTAAAAAAACAATATATGCCCAACCCAATACCACAGCTGGTGACCAGTGGGATAGAACAAATAAAAAGCACACACACCCTTTTTAGCTGTCTTTGTAGTGAAAAGAAAACAGAAATTACTTATACAAAGAGTGAGCCATTTTTGGGGGGTCTTTATTAAAAGTTTCAGAATTTATGCTATATTATAAAAGTAATGTCACTAGTTTCACCAAAAATTCACATAAAAAGCATTTAAAGAAGTGAATAGAAAGAGAGATGCATAATTTCATGAAGCAGATTCATTTGTAAACACCCACACCAATCAGTGGCAGAGACACTGAAGTCCTACCTAAGAAATAGTACTCCAATCAGTGGGGAAAAAATTGTTGCCTGAAATGGGTATTTCTCCTGGCAACCTATCGCTTTTATTTCTTATCAGTAATCAAATGGAACTCCAGAGCAAAATGAGGGAGGAAGAGAGAATATGCATGAATGAACTGGAGAACAACACAGGCTGGGAAGGAAGTCTGGAGAATTGCAGACTTGTAAGAACTGGAATGGGAAACAAAGTTTCAAGAAATCTTGGAACATGGAAGAAAGAATCAAGAGATGATTCTTGGTATTGGTTTAAAGAGCAGATTTTGAAGAAAAAAAGATAACTTTTTTCCTCTAAACTGCGAAAGGTGAGTGTTTGGTTCCTCTTTTTTTTTTTTTGGGGAAAAGTTTGGATTGGAATTGGGTGTGGAAAGTGACAAAGGAAGAGATGGAGAAGTGGAAGGGAAATGAATGAATGGGGGGACCACCACAATGAGAAGAGGCGAAGAGGTTAATGGAGGGAGGGGAGAAGAATTGAAGGAGTCTGACTACTTGCATGTGCGGCTGAGTGGTTCTGTGCTCATCACTTTCCTTTTTTTGTTTTCATTCGGTTTATTACAATCACAAATCACAGTAGCACTACTCCCTCTACATTAAAAATAGTTTTATATTTCATCCATCTCAGTTCTCACAATGAATTATATGGACTCATTGGAGTAGTACTTACTTCCTTCATTCCTATTTGTTTGTCACATTTTGATTTACGAAATAAAATATTAAGTTTTTTCAATTCATTTTATTTGAATATTGTTATATAAATATAAAATAAAATTTACATATTTACAGACTACATAAATAATTTTTCAAAAAAAAAGAGGCGTCAAAAATATTTTATTTTATCAAATAATCAATAAAAACGTATAAATAAACAAAAGTTCTCGCGACTGTTGAAAAAGCAAATGTAACATTCTTTTAGGAACGGAGGGAGTAGTATTTAAAAATCACATAAACTTTCATTTATCTTTCTATTTTTTATTGATTATTTAATAAAATAAAATATTTTTTTCACCTTTTGTTTTGTAAAATTTTTGATATATTTTTTTAACTATGCAGGTTTTATTTTATATTTTTAATTTTATATTAATCTTTAAAATAAAATAAATTGAAAAATTTTGACTTAACTTCATTTTGTGTAATTTATATTTATTGCAAAATAGATTCTTTTTTCAAGGAGAGATTAAGATTAAATCATTTTGTGGATTTTACCTAGATTTGAGCTCTAGCAGAGGTAGAGGCGTTGGTTCTTTGTGAAATAAAATAAAAAAATTTATTTGATGACAAGACAATATGTCATGACTAAAAAAGTGGGTTTAGAGCATGTTTTAGAGCTGAAAAAAAACCTGTATGTCAGAAGAAACTGAAAAAAATTAAAAGAAAGAGAAACTGGAACAAACTAAAAAATCAAGAAAAAACTTCAAAAATTTATTTAAGTAAAGTTTACATAATATTATTATTACAATTGTTATTGTATTGTTATTATTATGATTATTATTATTATTATATCCATAAAGGCAATGAAAATGAATAAATTTTGAACACATGAATAATGTACATGTCATTTAATTAGGGACGGAGAAAGTAGCATAATTATTATTTTTGAATATAAAATATTGATATTTTTCTCATGTCAATTTAGATTAATAAAATATCCATAATTTTTACGGAGTAGAATTATATTATTTTCCGTCTCATATTAATTTGATTAGACCTGACAACACAGATACGAAACTGATTAATCTAATTGAATGATTCGAAACCAAATTCGAAGTGAACGAAAATATAAGATCTACTCCGTGATATATAATTGAAAAATTGCGATGGTTCGAACGAACCAAAATTGAGGTAGATATATTCAAATTCAAATTTACTCCAAAATCAATTAAATCCGAAATGATTAGACCCGAAACAAATAATTAAAATGAGAAGAAGTGGAGTATGAAACAAACACCAACCCAGTTAAAAAAACAAAAAAATGGAAAGATTATTTGTATGCAGACTTTATCCATATTCAAGAGTAGAGATACTCATTCCAAAAGTGGGAGTATTAACTAATCTATAATTCTATATTAATTGCAATATCCTTTTGAATATACTATGAAAAAGATGCAAAATTTATAAAGTGAGATATATGCTTAATAGTGCGAATCCGGCCCGAATAATTCGTAGGGTAGTGAGTAGGGAAGGGAAGGGTGCCGACAAAAATTAGAGCAAGGAATCAATGAATCAATCATGCTTTAGGCGTTTAGTAATCTCTTCCAAGAGAGAATTCAATCATCAAAGAAAACAAAAAAAATACACCCACTCACTAAGGGCCCACTGTTTTGAGTGAATGAGAAGTAGACCCAATCCCAGATGGGTATACTTGACCCGCCCGGGAAAAAGACTGGAATTAATTCTTTTTTTCGGATAGGAGGAGCCAGCCCAATCTGTAGTTAAAAGGGACTCGCAAAATTGTGAACCAGGCTAGAAGAGTTTTATGGTCAAGCTCGCTAAAATACTTTTTTCTTTTATTTTTTCCACTCTGAATAAAACACTTTTATTTTTATTAAAACACAATTTTTATTTTTATTTTTTGATACTATATCTATCACATCATATTTTTTCTTTAATAATCTATCTATCGTGATGGATATCGGGTCCGGTAGGCCCGACTCCAGGCCCAAATAAAGGCCCATAATAGCCCAAAAGGTAGGTCAGACGGAGATGACGGGCGAAGCCCGTCATTGCGCATATGACAAGTAGAGAAAGACGGCCCAGTCATGGGATAAGTCAAGGGTGGCCCAGTCCAAGGGAAGAATGGGACACGTGGCCCACATCATCAAGTTGTGGACGAAATGGGAAGAGAACGAGACCGGAAAAGGGGGAATCACAACCCCATGATCTCCATAATCCTTTCCATTTTGTATAATTTTAATTACAATATTAGAAATGCTATAAAAGGGGGAGAACCCGTCATTGTAAGGGGGGAATTGAATACTCAAGAAAAGAATATTACTGAGTGATTATATCTTCCTGATTGATATTACGTTCTTGGTCCGCCATCTGATCGGGTTAATCCCATCATCGATGCTTTCATTGAGATAAAACTGTGAGATAAGGCTGTGAGATTATGGCCGGACGAAGGACGAGACGTAACACTGCTGCTTCCGCCCAGTCGACGGTAAGGAGTGACAACCCTAGGCAGGGTATGATCGTTCCTGTCAATGGGTTGGAAACGGCATTGAATAATGTGGCCAACATGATGGCCAACATTATGGAACGATTGGATAAGGCTCTTCCAGGTCCATCCGGTATCCGGGACATCCCTGCCGGGCAACCCCGTCAGGTACTGCGTACCGCGAGTTCTCCTATCCTCCAGGAGCTTCATGATCCGGAAGAGGTTGAGAGGGAGAGACGAGCCATTGCCATACGCCGGGCGCAGGAGTTGGCCCGGAATAGTAAGGTGAATGAGGACCGGGCCAAGGATGCAAGCCGGATCGTCGGCGATGGAAACGAAAACCCGCGGGGATCCGTCTTTGAAAGGATATCTCGCCAGAAGGCTCACGTTAGTGAGAGGCTGGGGAAGAATCCGGATAAGGCACCCTAGGGTTGGATACGACCCCAGGCTAGCCAGGTGGCATCTTCTAACCGCGAACCCCGGCTGCGAAACGGCCGTGGTGGGATCCAAGCCCCAGTCCGGTCAGTGATGGATTTGGAGGAGGACTGATGATTGAGTTTTTCGGTAAGTCAACCTTCCCAATGAAGGGTTAGTTTTCTCCGAGTGTCGTGTCTCTCGAGGAGTGGACGAAGGGAATTAGCTAATTTTTCTAACTAGACGAAGGTTAGGACAGGTCTGAAAGTCATCTCGATTTGATTTGGAAATAAACTAAAGTACAAGGTGTTTTTTTAGAAAAAGAAAATAAATAGTACGGGTATAGGACTAGACTTCGGGCCAAGGCATCATCTGAGTTAACTACTGTTGTCACATATTTAATCAATAATTGGAATAATAATATTTCTGTCACAAATATTTCATTAACTTATCCTCTCTCAAGGCAACATTAATGTGTTCTAAAAAAGTTTGGCTTAATTAATTTTATATCCTCATAGACAAGACAAAAACTAATTTCCAATAATTAATTAATTTTTCTCTCGACATAATTAATTAATTTAACAATAAAAATAATTCTAGAACAATTATTCCAACTATTAACTAAACATACAGAGTATATGCCCAAATTTAGCCATGACCCTAATTTGGGCCTTAACCCATACTAGATATCAACAGTGCATAAAAGAAACGAACATTTTATTAAAATTGCAAGTATTTAAACTTACAACAGAGAGCAGAGTTGGAGCCACTTTGGGACAACCGGAACAAAACTAAACTAAAATATTAAAATTTAACTGAGAACGGAGCGGAGAATGGAGTTCCGGGCCTTAAAGACCCGGATTGGAGCTTGATTAGAATGAAGGGGCGAAGCCCTCCTTTTATAGGAGAAATTTTCGGTCCAGGCCTCTGACAGGCGTGGGCCTGAGGTCCAGGCACACGCCTGAAGTGTTAGTGCGCGTGATGGCTTCCGTTTGCAAATCAAACAAGTACGGAGCATATATACTTTTTTTGTTTCTTCTTGCGTCACTACCTTCAATCTTTCTTTCTCATTTTTCTTTTAACTTCTTTTGATGGGGATGCCGGCCAGCCACTTGCTTTCTTTTCTTTTGCTGCTGTTGCCACAGTTGGCCGGCCAGCCAGGTTGCGCCACGTGGCAGCACCTGATTGGCCGGATTTTGACCTGGTCTGAAAATATTTTCTAAAAATACAGCCTTGCTCAAAATTTTATTCTGAACAACTTTTCCTTCTGTGCCGACTTCAAATTCTGAATAAATCTCTTTGCTCTGTTGCATTCCATTTGCACAATCTTTTACACTTTTTGTACCACTTTTGACTCAATTTTTATTCTTTTTATAACAAGACATAACTTTTGTACACTTTTGCAATTATGAATAAAAACTTATAAAAACCATTGAGAAATTGATTTGTTTGATCTAAAATTGGACAATAACACATTAAATATAGAGAAGATAAGTGCGTACAAAATGGACTTATCAAGGACGAAGTTCAAAGCCAAGCCAGGGTCCCAGCGCCACGGCGTCTGGGGCCACCGGTGCCAGAAGCTGGTGAGTTCCAGGATCTGAGGCAGCAGATCCAGGAGATGCAGAGGAAGATAAACAAGGGACGAGTATTCACTACCCGGACGAATACTCCCTTAGCCCCGGAGATCTTTGCGGAACCATATCCGTAGGGGTTCAAAATGCCGTTCGTTAAGCATTATGATGGGGAGTCGGATCCCCAGGAACACATAAACGGCTATGTCCAAGTGATGATTGCTGTAGACGCCAGTGACGCACTCATGTGCCGGTGCTTCTTGCAGACAGTTGATAGCAAGGTCGCGGATTGGGTCAACCATATCCCTGCTGGATCAATCCAGACATGGGATGAATTGGGACTACGGTTCCTGGAGCATTTTGCCGGGAACTGCCGCCCCAAGAAGCATTTCACTCACTTAGCTTCAGTACGACAGAAGCATGGAGAATCCTTGAAAAATTTCCTTATCCGATGGAGGAAAGAGTCCAGGGAGGTTTAAGGAACCGACGATAAATCTAGGTTGGCTATGTTCACAGCGGCATTACAAGATGGACTCCTTCACACCGATCTTACTACTCATCCCCCGGATACCTTCGAAGAAGCAATGGTCCGGGCGAGGAGGTATGTGACCCTGGAAGAAAGAAAGGAGGAGAAGAAAGAGAAGACTCCCAAAGAAGAAGACAAGACTGGAAATAAGAAGCCGTTCAAAAACAAGAAGCAAGGATTCCCGGATGGCCCAAAGGGCACAAGTCCCGGGACCTCGGAGAAGCACAAATCTGCCAATCCAGTCTTCACATTGCCGGTGGCTGAGGTCATGGCCCACGCTGCACAGCAGGGACTCATGACTTATCCAACCTATTCTCAAAAGGTCTGCAATGTGGAGGATACTGGAAAGTGGTGTGCTTACCATCGCAAGAATGATCACAATACGGAAGATTTCTATACCCTGAAGAATGAGATGGCAAGGCTAATCCGCCGGGGTCATCTGAAGAAGTTCGTGCAAGATGGAGATGCGGGAAATCCCGGGAACGCTCCGAATGGAAAGCGCAGAGATAAAGAAGTGGCCCAGGATGAGACCCGGGAGAAACGCCACATTGGGCTTGAAGATGAAGAGGAGGATTCGGAACCTGCACCGCATCGCCAGAAGAGACACCATGGGTGTAACTTCATCATTGGAGGGAATACTGGCGGAGACTCAGCCGCAAGCCGGAAGAAGTGGGCAAACGCGGCGATGGTCAACAAGGTGCTGGTCCCAGAAGGTAAGAAGCTGAAAACCGAGCCAATTGTATTTTCTAATGCTGATCTTCCGGAGACAGGGGTCCCCCATAGGGATGCCCTAGTGATTACTATTGATATAATGAACTTACTGATCCACAAAACCCTTGTGGATACGGGAAGCTCCGTTAATATCATGTATATGGATACGTACAAGGCTCTTGGTTTGACAAGGGATGAATTGTCACCCATCAAAACTCCACTGACCGGGTTCACTGGTGACTCTATTGAACCGGAGGGGGTGATAACCCTCCCGGTTGAGATAGGGGATACTAAGGCTACCCGGAAGTTGGACATGGAGTTTGTTGTGGTGGGGATAATCTCCAGCACAAACATCATCCTGGGCAGACCCGGGTTGGAAGATTTGGAGTGTGTCATCTCACCTCGTCATCTATGCATAAAATTCCCGACCCCCCACGAAGTTGGAATTGCCAGGGGATCTCAGAGAGTGTCCCGGGCATGGTATTTGAAGGCAACTAAACAGCCGGTCAAGTACGATACCCAAGTGGGAAAGGTGACTACGCAGCTCCTGAGGGCTGAGGAAAAACGTCCCAGAGTAGAAGTTGTTGGCAACATTGAAGAAGTGGAACTGGAGCCAGGCATGTCGGGAAGGTTGGTTAGGATTGGCAAGGGCCTGGGGGCTGAACTCAGATCACGAGTGATTTCAGTCCTTAGAAGGTTCAGGAGGGTCTTTGCGTGGAGTCCAGCTAATATGCCAGGGCTGGATCACAAGATTGCAGTTCATCGCCTAAATGTCCTGCGGGATGCTAAACCAGTGAAGCAGAAACGGAGGCATTTGTCGCAGGAAAGAAGAGATTTCGTGAAAAAGGAGGTAGCGACCCTGCAGAGCATTGGGCATATCCGGGAGGTGCAGTACCCGGATTGGTTGGCAAATGTAGTTTTGGCGCCCAAGCCCCCTTCGTGGAGGATGTGCGTCGACTATACCGATTTGAACAAGGCATGTCCCATGGATCCGTTTCCTCTCCCCAACATTGATCAGATGGTGGATGAGACTGCCGGATCAGAGTTAATGAGCTTCATGGACGCTTTCAGTGGCTACCATCAGATTCGGATGCATCCGGCTGATGCTGAAAAGACAAGTTTTATGACCCCAGAAGGGCTGTACTGTTACTTGGTAATGGCCTTTGGGCTGAGAAATTCCGGGGCGACATATACCCGGATGGTTTCTCAGGTGTTCAATGCTGTCTTAGGGCGGACCATGGAAGCGTATGTTGATGACATGATTGTCAAATCCAAAGAGGCCCGAGACCATGTCTGGGACCTTGAAGAGGTCTTTGAAATCATGATGAAGGTAAATCTGAGATTGAACCCGAAGAAATGTACTTTTGCTGTTCAGGGTGGGAAATTCCTTGGGCACATGGTTAGCCAGAAAGGAATTGAGGCAAACCCGGAGAAAGTAAGGGCTATTATGGAGATGGAACCCCCGAAGACAGCAAAGGAAGTTCAGCGGCTGACAGGGAGATTGGCGGCTTTGAATCGTTTCTTTTCAAAGCTGGCAGAGAAGGCGCACCCATTCTTTGCGGTGATCAAGAAGAGGGAGACCTTCGAATGGACACAGGAATGTCAAGAAGCATTTGAAGAACTAAAGAGATATCTCGCAAGTCCGCCGGTTTTATCTAAGCCGGAACCTGGAGATGTTCTGACCCTATACTTGGCAATTGCGGACTGTGCCATAAGTACTGTGATCGTGAGGGAAGAGCATGGGGCCCAGCATCCGGTCTATTACGTCAGTAAGACCCTGAGAGATGCGGAGCTAAGGTATTCCCGTCTAGAGAAGGCCATGTTAGCGGTCTTCTGGACAGCGAAGAGATTAACTCCGTACTTTCAGGCTCACCGGATTGTTGTGCTCACAAATGAGCCTTTGGCGTCACTTGCCCGAAGCCCGGCGGCATCTGCCCGGATGACCAAGTGGGCAGTCTTCATCTGTCAGTATAACGTGGAGTTCAGGCCGCGCCCATCGATCAAGGGGCAAGCACTCGCCGACTTTCAAGTTGAGTGCACCGCCAGGGAGATGACAAGAGCCCAAATTGAAACCCGGGTGGAAAATGACTGGTGGGTAATGAGCATCGATGGATCTTCTGGAGCTCGATCTTGCAGAGCAGGTATCGTCTTGACCACTCCAGAAAATTTCCGGATTTATTACGCTATCAGATTTCAATTTCGCGTATCCAACAATGAAGCTGAGTATGAGGCCCTGATCAACGGATTGAAGATTCTCAATAAGTTGGGGGTGGCCAGGGTTCAGGTTTACAGCGACTCCCGATTGGTGGTGGGACAAATCACTGGGGAGTTTGAAGCAAAGGAAGAAAGGATGAAAAGGTATCGAGACTTGTCATTAGAAATGTTGGGGAAGTTTGAGTTTAAGCTTGAACACATACCCCGGGCCCAGAACGCGGAAGCTGATGTTCTATCCAAGCTCAGCGCAGAGTCACCAGAATACATAAGCAAATTAGCAACCGTCGAGGAGCTGGCAACCCCGAGTCTTAACAGAAATGAGGTGATTTGGGTATCAGTTGATCCCCCGGAATGGCTGGACAGGTTGACCAAATATATTGAGGCCGGTGAAGCCCCGGAGGATCCCCAAGAAGCACGTCTGCTGCGAATGAGGGAACCTACCTAGAAGGTGCAGGATGGAGTCCTCTATAAACGATCTTACAACGGTGTTTTACTCCGTTGCCTCAGGGCAGCAGAGGCAAAAGCACTAATGGAAGAGATACACAAAGGAGTGTGTGCTGCACATCAGGGTCCATACTCTGTCTCCAGAAGGGCGATTATCCAGGGATATTTCTGGCCAACGATGAAGAAGGATTGCGAAGAGTACGTACGCAAGTGCCCGACTTGCCAACAGTTCCAAAATATGCCCGGGAGGCCAGCCACGAATTACACGCCCATCAGCTCTGTGATTCCCTTCTCAAGATGGGGGATTGATATTGTGGGAGCCCTGCCGAAAGGAGCTGGGCAGGCAAGATGGATTGTGGTGGCAATAGACTATTTCACCAAGTGGGTGGAAGCTGAGCCACTTGCTGGGATTACCGGAAGGCAAATGATCGACTTCGTCGGAACAAATATACTCTGCAGGTTTGGGGTCCCGAGGCAGATCATATCTGACAATGGAACCCAGTTTGAGGAAGCAGAGTTTCAAGACTTCCTCAAAACTTGGGGAATTCAGCATACAAAGGTGTCTGTTGCCTACCCTCAGGCTAATGGACAAGTGGAGAACGTCAACAGGACAATCACAGACGGAATAAAGAAGAAGCTACTTTCAGAAGGAAGCAAATGGGTAGATGAACTACCCAGAATCCTATGGACATACAGGACAACTCCAAGGAGAGCTACGGGTGACACTCCTTTTGGCTTAGCTTATGGTTTTGAAGCCCGGGCTCCCGCTGAGGTAGTAATCCCCACCAAGAGAGAAATGGAATATGACCCGGAGGTGAACGAGCAGAATCAGGCCGTAGAGCTGAATTTTGTAGAGGAACGAAGGGATGAAGCACGGATCCGGGCAGAGAATTATCGACGCCAGGTAAAATCTTACTTTGATAGCAAGGTGAAACCAAGGGCGTTCCAGGTAGGGGATTACGTCCTGAGGAAACGAGAGAAAAGTCAACCAACTAAGGGTGGGAAGCTGGCTAAGAAGTATGAAGGACCTTATATCATCAAGGCCGTTGTTCGCCCAGGTACCTACAAGTTGGTGACTCCCAAGGGGAAAGAAATTGATAGGACATGGAATGTAGAGCACTTGGTCAAATTTTATTAGTAAAAACCATTTTGTAAAAATGCTCTATTTTTAAATTTAAGATGTTTGTTTCAGTAAATTGTTCTTTACTTTCAAGCCAAGTGCCTTTGCGATTTCATTGTTCTATAGATTTCTTTCAAAAAAGGGGGGGGGGGGGGG